GGCACTTTGAGCAATCAAGAGACTCCCTTAAAAAATTCCATCTTATTTTCAATCATATTTAACATTTAAAATCTCACTCAAGGGTACAGATATTTTTTCCCAACATGAGCAGTAAAACACTGTAAAAAAACAAAACAAAAAAAACCCAACAATCCTACATACTGCCACAAACACAGGCATTAGAGACTCCAAAGAAGATTTGCCAAAGCATAATTCAACCACTTGAAAGCAGGATTTCTCTTTTCAACTTAGTGGTAACAAACCAGCGCTAAATGGACTTCTTGAAACAATACGGTCTGCCATATGGCTAAAAGTGGATATTAAAATTGAGAATATCAATTACCAATCCACTAATGCTGAGAGCCAAAATCCACGGACAGTAAGAATTTAATCCAATTCAGTGACTACAGCACGAGCCAAGCCTGACATACAGGAGACAAATCTACTGCTGTTCTCCCAGGCAGCGAGGAGCTCCACTTTCCTACTGCAGCAACTACAGAACTAAATAAATGCAATGCTTTCTCAGTATTCCTAACTAAAGCAGTAGGCATAAGAATCTGCAAAAGCAGCATCAGTTCCATATGAACTGCATCTCATTTCACACTGTGATTGAGAAACCACAACTCCTAAGAAGAAACAGTTAACACTGAGTTGTTTCCCACATGACCAAACCGAAGCCTCCAAGCACCACGACTTCCTGGTATGACGTACTGCAGTGACATCAGCCTGCTTCATTTCAAGAAAAAGCATCCTAAAAACACAAGAAATATATAGCTACTATAATTAAACGATCTCAGAAGTAATTGCATTAATTGAAACATTTTCTTATTCTCAAGATATTAGTTTTAATTGTTCCAGTTTCAAGTTTTAATAGCTGTAGAATGCTTATTGTTGGATGATATTAAGAATACAGCTACACAAAGTTCTACATTACTTCTTCATTAACCTGAAACTAAATTGTATTTGTTACTTACACATACAGATAGATTCTCATTAAGTCTAAATACAACATTTTCAGATTTCCATCTCCTAGGATTTACTGTGGAATCCTGGATTTGCACATTGTCAGAAATGCCATGGCAGGATGCCTGCTATGTACTGACCTAGCAGCTGTGCGAGGACCAAACTTGCATACATGTAATTTATCCTAAGATGAGATCTCACTTCCTTCTACCCTTTCCAATCCCATGCTGAAAGGCCAAAGTACTACTACCAAAAAAACCCACACAGTTTATTTCAAGTACATCAGTACCTTAGAAGTGCCAAGCAATGGAACTACCAGTCTACTGGAGAAGCATTCTGATTAATATTTCATTCCTGACACACCACAGGAGCAATGTGCATTTGGATGATTTCAACTTCCATTATTCCCCCCTAACAAACACCACCACAAAGGAACCAACCACACAACCCCAGCTGCAAAGTGGGCCTTCTTTCTGTATGAAGGACAGCAGGGCTACGGCTGTTCAGTAAAGTAATAAACCACTGGTATATACATCAAGTCAAAGATAAACACTGCTAGGAAGCTTGATGTTACCAAGGGTTTGGAGGTCATCTGAATCCAGGAGACAAAACAGACATTTCTTCTTTTTTCCTACTGGGTTCTGTATTATTTTAAGCCTGAGCCCAGTATATATATTCTTTGGGAAGCCTGGTCTGGTGGTTGGCAACCCTGCACATAGCAGGGGGGCTGAAACTAGATGATCATTCTGGTCCTTTTCAACCCAGGCCGTTCTAGGATTCTATACCAAATACTAACCAAGCTATTTTATTTAGGTTGCCAAAGTTAAGAAGCTTGGAAGCATGCTGAAATCTCACCAAAATTATCAACTGAAAGTCCTTAAAAAATTTCAAAACTATAATTTCATAAAGCTCTATAATATCTTACAATACAGTATCTCAGAGACACAGAATTGTTATAGTATCTTTATAGCCTTTCTTGCTCTTAAGAATAAAAATAAGAACATACATACAGAAGTATGGCAACAAATTTGGGCCAAAAACAGCCTAAAAAGCCTCCGCCCACCACGAGCACTGAGGGAGGTGGGAGATTTCTACGTTGCACGAAGGGACCCGCCTGCAGGAGACCTGGTTGTTACCTGGCCAGCAGGACTCAGCAGCAGCACACTGCCTGGCAGGAAAGCCTTTGCATACCTGTCTTCTAGGTTTAAAATACCATTTTTTCAGCAACAGGCTTAGGAAAAATAAAGAACATTTTGACGGTATTAAGCAGGCACTGCAAGGTTAAAAAAAAAAACCAAACAAACAAAAAAACACAACAGAACAACAAAAAGCTCAAAATTGTGTCACCTCTTTGTCCACGAACAGCCGATGTGAACATTTCGCTAAAACTATTTACTCCTCCCACCCAGTTCCTATCTGGAAAGGCTCACAAAAATGAAAAAAATAAAACAAAAACTCACCGATTTCTTGCAATAATCTCCCAAATGCTCCTCCTACCCTCACCCCTCAAAAAAAAGAAGCAAACAAACGGAACGAGAAAGTAAATCTAAATACAATTACGAAATAAGATCGAGTTTGGCCAAGCTGTGGTGAGGAGGAGTTGAAAAATGAGAGCTGCCTTGCTGCAAACGCCATCTTGTTGCAGCTACTGGGCCCAGGCACAGAAAGATCCATTCATTCACGGCGAAAAGAAAATCAAACACACACCCTGGTTAATCGGCAGCCACCAAAACAACCACACTATTATCGTCCCTTCTCTTTCTCCTCTCCTAAGGCACACAGGGGGGAAAAGTCCTTTAAGATGTCACGTTTCAAACAAATTGAGAGCTGAAGAGCGTCTGCGTTTTCTGCATGCCTTTCACACACATCGGCAGCGTTTTGTCTCGATGCACACATCCTTGTGGCTGGCAGATCAGCTTAAAATACGGGATCAGTCTCACGATTAGGGGCAGTAAAACCTTTGATTTTCTGCTCTTCCATCGCCTCTCCCAGCTGAGCCACCAATTCCCCAGAGCTGTCCCCAGGACCCCTCGCATTCAATCCTTTCCTCCTATTTTCTGCTGTGGGGACAATGCATAATAACGTGGCATAAGGATGCCTTATTTTAAACCAGTCCCACCTCTGACTGGAGAATAATACGAAACATCACATTTGTTAATATTCCAGATCTCCTTTGGGAATAATAAATTGACATCTTTTATATCATTCTGATTTCCTTCTGGATAAGATTATTTCTTTAATTAAAACGGCTTTTTTTTTTTTTTTTTAAACGTACTTCACACCATCAGGAGAATTTCACACAAAGCTGTAGAAATAACAATCCTCTCATTTAAAAACCCTATTAGACGGGTTAAAAAGACGACGAAACAAATAAAGAATCAAAACCACCTCAATAATAATAAACCGGGAGCAGAAACGGCACTCTTAACATCTTCAAGGAGAAAAAGCTCCTTTTTCCTCTCGCAGGAAACACCCTCCATGATCTTCCTGACGGCTGCTACAGGCACAGCGATATGCAGAGCGGGGGGACGACGACGTGCCAACAAAACGCATCCTCGTTCCCATTTTAACGGGAACAAAACGTTTTCTGCACGTCTCCCCCCATCCCTCCCCCCCCTCCCCCCACCCCCAAAGGACCCCACACGCAGGGCTGGAGCCGTCTCACCCCTCGTGTGCCTCACCCTCCTCTCTCCGTCAGCTTTCCACCATTACAGCAGCCACACCACAGCTCCTTTTTCTTCACTCTCTCTCCCAGCGTTCCTCCCTCCGGTTCGATTCCTCTGGAAACTCACCGTTCCCCACCTCCAGCCCCTCTAACACAAGGCGCTACGGCCCTAACGACCATTAAAAATGGAACCCCGCAAAAATCCCAAGCTCCCCTCCCTTGGTGCCACCCCCACCTTCTTCTTTTTTTTTTTTTTTTTTTTTTTCCTTTATTTTTTCCACCTCCTCCTCTCCCGGCTCCAAACACGCTTCTTTTTTAGGGGAGGCTCGAAGGGCGGTGGGGGGGGGGGGGTCGTTCCACCCCGCCATGCTGAGGGCGCCACGCCGCCCTTCCCGCCCAGAGCTGAGGAGACGGCAGAAGGGGCGAGTAGGAGAGGGGAGAGAGAGGCGGAAAACGGGAGGAAGGAGGGAAAAGAGAAGTGCGGCAGCAATGGGGAAGAACGGGGGGAGGGGAGCGGGGTGGAAGGGCGCAGCCACGCAGAGGAAGAAGGAACCAGGGATGGAGCGGAGCGCTGAGGGAAGATGGCCTCAGGGTGGGGCCGCGCTGAGGACGGGGGGCTCGGCGAGCCCCGAGGGGGAGAGAGGAACGCCAAAAGGCTGCTGTGCGGCCGTGCCGCCCCGCCCGCCGCCCTTTCTGCCCCCTCACACGGTTACCTACCCTTCCGGCCGCTGCTCATCAACAGGGCCGCTCCGGCCGTCGCCCGCGGCTCCTGCCCGCGTCCCCGCCGGCCTGAGGTGGGGAAGGGGCGGCGGCGGCGGAGGGGAGGGGGAAGCCGCCCGCGCTGCGCTCCTGAGGCAGCGGCTCGGGCCGGGGCGTAGACTCGGAAGGAGCGACGGAGCGGGGCGGGGGTGCTAGCAGGTCTCGGCTCCTCCTCGTACACTCGGGCCCCGTTCAGCTCCCCGCAGCCATCGGGAAGCGAGAGCCTGGGCGCGGTTAACCTCCCCCCCCCTCCGCCCCGCCCGTGACTGCCCGGCCGGGAAACCCCGGCTCGGCTCAGCTCCCCGCTCCGCCCCGCTGCCGGCCCCCGGCCCCGCCCCGCTCCGCTCCCCCACGGGCGGTGGCGATTAGTGTTGTTGCGCCCCGGGCCTCGCCGCCTCGACGGCGGCCGCTGCTGCTCGGGCGGGAAAGGCGCGCCTGCGCCTCTGAGGCGCGCGCTGCGATGCGGCGCTCAGTCGGGCAGGGCTCGGTCAGTCGGGCGGCGGCCGCGCGGAAGGCTCTACTGACAGGAAGGGGCGATTCGAACGACTGCCGGCCTCCTCCCGCCTGCCTCGCTCTGGTTCCTCCCCGCAGCGCGAACAAAGGGCGCGGGCGGGTTTCGCTTTCTGCCCCTCCGCGCCATGCTGCCGCGCCCAGGCCGCCCCTCACGGCTCCGCGTTTAGGAGCCGGCTTGAGGCAAACGGGGTGTGTAAACGGCGGGAAAACGGAGCAAAAACAGGGCCGGTTTTTTTTTTTTTTTTTTTTTTTTTTTTTTTTTTTTTTAAGCGGAGAGAACAGGGTTTGAAGGAATGGCAGATACCGTTTTACTGCGGTTAAAAGGACATTGAGTGTAAGAATTGGCGGCTGTTAAGCATAATGGCAGGGGAAGGGGCTCGGAAAGGCGCCTGGGAAGCAGTGAACCCCCGTTGTGTCACAGTATTTCCCTCAGAGATTTCAGAATGTGGTACAGCACATTCAGCTTACAACTTCCTGGTTTTTATTATCTATTATTTATGAATTCATATCAGAAAGGTTTTTTTGCGTGGCTAAAATCCTCAGGGTTTGTTTCTTCCCCCATTTTCCTATTCCTCCCACGAACGCCCATCTCTCTGTAAGGCACTGCAGAAAAGAGCAAGTAAAAAAAAACCAAAACCACCACAAAAACAAAACCAAAAAAATCCAATTTCTGTGTTACAGAGCAGACTTCCCCCAGCCTAGGCAGGAGAGATGTTCACAAGATGGAATCACAACAGCACTCACACATTTAAACTTCATTACTTATTGATGGAAAGTGAGTACAAATTGCATCTTTTTTTTTTTTTTTTTTCCTATCAAGCACATCTATATCTCTTTTTTCCCCCATATTTGTTTATACTTTGTAAAGTTGAGCAGTGAGGAGATAGCCTTGCTGCCTGAGCAAATTTGAACTTCTATTTGCCATCACGTTTTTGGGGAAGGCGGGTGTGATTACCTGTAATTAGTGAGAGGTTTGTCAATTAAACTGTAAGGAAGTGAGTGAGCTGTTATTCAGGGTGCCTGTTACGAATAACGGTCCGATCCTGGTGTGATTAAGCCTTTGTTTTATAATAATCAAATGCTTAAGTATGCCGTGTGCTGAGCAAAGGCTCTAGTTCTTTGCCCTGAGATCTACAAAAGAAGAAAAATACTGAAATTAGAATAAAGGGCTCTCCAACTATAGCCCCAAATTGATGCTGTTCTATCACCACAGGAATATAACTTCTAATATATCCCCACAAATAATGGTGCGCACGGTGGCCAAGAATTAGCCCCTCACAACCTGCATACCAGAGGTTCCATAGGTTTTATGTCTATAAATGTTCCTGAGACTGGATAGAGATTGGTTTAGCGTTCTGCAAAATATGGATTGAATTTAACTGCTTATAGAACGAGAAGTTACAGATGCTTTCAAAGTATTCTAGAGATTTCAAAAACAGTTATGCACCACCCTGCTATATTTAAGTTAAAAAAGAAAGAAAGAAAGAAAGAAAATAAGCATAATACATAAAGGATTCTTTAAAAGGCTTTGTTTTACCAAGAAAGATTTATACGTCCTAGGAGAATTTGTGGAAATTTCAGGTAAAGCAGCGTGATCCAGAAGAAATCTGTGTAATGAGCAATAATGGAGTTCTGAAGTTCATAACTAAGAGTAAATCACATTTTCTGCCTTTGAGTGGTGACGTGGAAACATTATTAACTATAACATAATAATGTATTTCTTTCCCCATTGCACATATGTTATCGTACAAACGCTACTATTCTCCTTTATAATTCTCCTATATGCTTCTAGTAACGGCACAGTTTGAATGCCTGTTTTCCCTTTTTAAATTAAAATACATATTCATATCATATCCTATCCTAGAAATCTAGTGATTTTTGCACTACACTTTTTATGCATTCTCTGTCATGTCAGAGCTGAACAGAGTCTCTTGTCCCCAGGTTTGTACTATGCCAACTCTTTAAATCTGTGCAATTTGGGTAAGGAATTGTGAAAGGCCAAATGGGATTATACCTGCTGAGTGACAACTGGTTCTGTCACCACACCTATCCTTTTGTAAAAACACAGCTGTTGCAGTGGTGCCTGCTTCAGACCCAGAGATTTAATTATGTCTCATCTTCATGAAAACTTTGATTGACAACACAGTTCTGCTACTGGTATGAGGAGAGCTTATGATGATTGGAAATGGTTGCTTATAGGGTGGAGGGTTGTTTGACACAGGGTGAATTTTTTATTTGGTTCTGTGGTTGGTTTCTTTTCCTGTAAATCCGACCAGACTGATCAGTTCTTCATTTTAAAGTTCCAGAAGAGAAACATTGCACAGCACAGTGTTTCATTCTGTTGTCTTCACACAGCCTTGTCCTGAATACCACTGTGTGTGCATTATATACTATTCAAAGTGAAAAAAGTTTCAAATACTTATCAATATTATTGAATGTGTGAATTTCTGTTTGGTATTACTTTAGCTACAAGCAGTATTTTTTACCTCTAAAATAAATTTTAAAAAAAGCTAAAATTGGCTGGTAATACATTGATGACCAAATACATGTAATCAGCCAAAGAAATCTGCTTTTTAGTGAATACAGCAAATTAAAATATCCCAAATAGATGGGAACTGTAACTCACAAGTTCACAAAATAGCTCACTTCTCATAGGAGCTTCCTTACATGCTAGGACTAGGCCTACTGAAGCAAAAATAGTGGTTTTCCTTAAGAAGCTTGATTTAGATCTAAAGAAAACCTCCTGTAAGCAGGTTGCTCCATAGTTCGCAGTTGCAAACTGTCTTCCAGCTTTTTCTCAATCATTTTTATATTAACCCCTTTACTGAGAGCATGCCAAATTAGGTAAGTCTTTAGGAAGATTCACTACTTTGTATGTTTTTTTCAGTTGTTTCCAACAGAATGACAAAACTACTTGTCTGTCATAGTTGGTGTGTCACCAGGACACCTGTTTTTGCAGACTGTTCTGTCATTCTAAACCTGCGTGTTTCAGCACACCACAGCACGCTGGTGAAGCCGTGAAAAATCATTGTTTCAAGCCATTTGTAGATCAGAAAAGAAGTAGTTAAAGTGTTCATCCCAGCACGTATTACTGTGAAACTTTCAGATGGAGAGCAATCGTGCCACACAGTTTCATATTTCTACCAACTCACAGGTTATCTGCTTACAGGATGTCTGCTTAAGGAGCTCCAGTATCTGCATACACATCAAACCTGCTTTCTGGCTTTCAGCCTCCAGGCTCTGCTTTCACTCTTACACGTATGCGACTGCTATCAACTGATAGAAACGAGGGTTACTGAGAGGCTTTAAAACATCAGTGAAATGCAGAGTTAGGAATCTTGACTGTCAAAAACCACCATGTTTCTTCCCTGATCTAAGATAGTCTTGAAACACATAAGAAGGATGGAGAATTTCCAAGGAATGGGAGTCCTGGGATGTTTCTTACACGCTGTTCTTTTCACGTCACAGTCATCAGATCTGTAAAACTCTGTCTTATGCCTGCAGGATGCTGCACCATGAAACAGGGGCCCAGGCAGCCGTGCGTCCTGCTCAGACATTCTGCTGCAGAGGTAATAACCTTGATTACGTACTTGACAGATTGTGTTAATGAAGTGCTTCAGGAGTCTCAGTTACACTTTAAAACATATGGCTCTGCCTTTAACACTAAAGAATTAGAAATAAAGAGCTGGAAGGGGTAGCAGAGTTTTGAGTTCAGTAGATCACACGACAAGTAACCATACTGTGTGATGTCCCTTGGAAGATGTGGAAACTCCATCTTAAAGTTAGTTAGTTTCCCTTTGCTAATCAAGTCCTCTTGTAAAGTGATTTGCCTTGCAAATTCTTACTGCATTGTTTAAAAACAGTAAAGTTATGATTTAATAATGCCACGATGCAGTATGCTTGGAAGAATTCAAACTAGGCATCGATCAGTGTGACAGTTAAAAACAGTTGCTTTCCCTACACTTCAGCAATAAGAAATCTTGTCCAAAAGCAGAAAGGACAGATATCACGTAGTCCTGAGAGATGTTCTTGTTAAACAAGAAGAGCAAGGACGTAACTCGGTCCCCAAAGTACTACTGAAGTACAAGTTTTATTTGCAAGTGAAATTGCCTTGCATACTGTTTATAAATGTATTATATTCATGTTTTACTGAATATTTTGTCAGCATTTTTGGGAATTTCTTAGAATCTAACACAATTTTGCATTAAAACAGAATTGTTACTGCATTATTATAATCAGAACATACACATTGTATGAATAAACGCACTGCGTGATTCTTAAAACTTCAGACACCTCTGGACTCTGAAAGTATAACCATCACCAATCAGGTATAAATTAGACTTTCTAGAGAAAGGCCAAAACTCAGCACCTATCAAAATTACAGAGCACCTCAGAGGGTATAAAAATACTTGAGAAGTGGTAAATATAGATATTTTTAGCCTACTTCTCCATTTGCTACTTCCTAGGTGAGTGTTTCTAATGGATTTACCCAAAATAACTCAGAAGAGCACCTCATATTCCAGAATCATGCTATCTCCCATTCCAGGGTATTTTGCCTGCATTTGTGTCCTTTGATTTCAGAACCATGTACAAAAAAAAAAATAAATAAAAAAAAAAAATGCAGAGATTCATAGAAAACGAAATGAAGCTGATACAGTGTTTGCATTCACCCTGAAATCCTTTGGGAAAAAGAAAATCCATGTCTGTGAGCTAAGGAGAACAGCTGTGAAGGCCTGCACTATTCCTATAGATTTCATTCTGCTCCATCAGTGTGCATATTTATTATTGTGAATGTAATAAACAAATCAATATCAACAGTATATTCTAATTCTTGACAGAGCCAGAGTAAGTTACACGAGGCAGTACACACTGGTGAACATGTCCCAAAAGGCAGTATATGTTTTCTGGTTTTGTACTAATTCTGGTTGAGGCAGTTTTATTTCCAGCAGAAAACTCTGCTCAGTTCCTGTTGCCCTGTGACCCAATTAAGGTCAATGCTTTATGCATCTCTGACTTCAAGAATCATAAAAAATTATTGCCTACTTCCTGGAGGTGGCTGTTACATGTAGCATATCTTTCAGCATTTCCTAAGGCCAAAATATGTCACTACTCTTGTTTTAGACGTAGGAAATCGATGCATATCCATGTAAAATTACGTAGCTGCTACTACCCAGCAGTTTGCAGAATAAAGTGAGAATGGCAGTGCTGCTTGAACCTGGATCTAGCATTCCTTGCAGTCAGTGCCATAATTTTATACTGTGATACAATCTTACAGTGCGATCCAAGTATGTAATTTTGCAACCTATATTTATACTTGTTCTACAAAGTAACAGAATTTGTCATCTGGGAGTAAGCTGTTCTGAATTTTCCTCTGCATTCAGCTTCCAACCTTGAAACATGTACGTGTGTCTCAAGGTTGGTCCAAACCCAGTTGTATACTTCCAAATTCCCTTCTTGTCTCTGCCCCTCTCTCCTTCCCCAGCCCCTTGCTGCTTGAACAAACCTATTTAGAGAGAGCAGAGAGAGCCAGAAGGATGGGGTAGGGTTTTTTGTGCTTGTTCTGTTTTTCATTCATATTCAAGTATGAATTATATGGGGGAGAGGGGGGGGAAGCTAAACTGATATCTTTAAGCTTAGCAAGCCATAACTCAGTTTCTTAGAAGTCCTTTGGAGCTGGAGCATGTCAAAAAGTCTGTAGAGCTGCACTACCTTGGCAGATGGATATTTTTCAGTATCCTTAATAGCATGAAACAAACATAGCTGGTGTTGCACTGGTTTGAAACACAGCAAATATTGCTAGGAACAAAAGAGAATATAGAAAATGAAACATACAGGATATATGAAAACAATTTTTTCCAAAAGTCTCTTGTCATATAACAAACACAGGCCCTTCAAAACTGAGGAAGATGTTAATTAGTACGGGCACAGACATTAACAAACAAGTGAAATTGTGTTCCTGTATGGATCCCTCTCCTGCAGCTAAAATAGCCACAAAGGGCATGTTATTATTCTGTTAAGGTCAGGTTCTACAGCGTATCTATAGATATAAGCATACATGCAACCAACTCCACACCTCTGTGTCTTCCTTCACGTAAATAATCTTTTCAGTGACATTTCAGTAGCATTAATGCAGATGTAGCAGTTTGAGTAAAAGCTTACAGCCTAGTATTTTCCCCTTTAAAGGGACTTTCCTCAAGGGAATAATTGTCTCATTGGGCAACTAGGAGAAAAACAACTGGTATCCTGGAGATGCTGGGGATTTAGAAACCACACTGAGAATTCAGCCTGGCTACTAAACTTTCCATGAGGTCAGATGCGTCAGATCTGCAGTGAAGTTTGCCTTTGGGAAATACCTTCAAGTACGAAAAAGAATTTGCTTATCTAGCTAACGTGTCAGATTCCTATAGAACATTCTTCTGTCCTTGACATAGCAGTTCCATAAAGTGGGCTCAGGTGTCACAGTGAAGCAGCTTATCAAAGACTGGAATTATTGATCAGGGTGTTGCTTCTTAGAGAGCTCTATACCTTTTTTTCCCATTGCTGCAGCTGCAGTAAAGCATCAGTGCTCCTGCAGACTCCAGAAAACAAAGCTGCATTCATAAGGCAAAAATATTTGGAGTAAGGGACTTGTATTGCTGTCTTTGGAGAATCTATGCTTAGCCAAACAAAGCCTATCTGTGATACATGAAAGGGATAAGGCATGCTTAGAATTTCAGTAGTCATTCATTTAATTGCAAGAGATAATAAGATGAGTAGATTCAATAATGGTTACATCCTGTACTTCAAAAGTAAGCATTTATTTGGGAAAGGATGCTGGAATTGAGCAAATTACAGCCTGAAGAAGGAGGTAGGCTTCTATCATCCCTGTCAAGCAAAATTGGCAGCTGAGTTCCGCCAACCACTCAGTAAAAGATAAAAAATGTATGCAATCTTATTGTTTCAGAAACAGCTCCAGAAAAATCTGTGTGGATGTTATATAAGGTGTATAGAGCTTATTTATAGATTGCATGACAATTTGCCTGGCTGGCTGCTTACTGGCCCTAAGAGCTTTATGAACTGAAGATACAAAACAGGCAGGTCAGGAAATCAAGTTAGGAGAGAAGCAGTAAGAATCACTGGTCATCAGGTCCCAAGGTACGTGGGTTTGGGTGCATGTACTGTGCTACAGCAGTCTTGGGCAGGAAAACAGTGCATGGAAAAGTTCATACAGAGTATATCAAACCACAGGCTGAGCAGGCTCAGTGGTGTGTGATTCCAGGAGAAGTCCCTATTGCATTGCAATTCCTCCCTCACTGGAGGAGGGAGAATTAGTATGAGAAATTCATGAAGATCACGGGAGGAGATGAAGCGGGGAAGCTTCTTTACAAAATTGAGTTGCATTAAAGCAAGCTAAAGGAGTTAAGTGTTATAATGCAGGACTCGTATCTACTGTGCTATTCAGCTGCTGCTAAGAAAGAAGATTTGAAACAAAGGCTGGCTTTCTTCTATCTCTAAAAAATAACCTCCTTTGTACATGAGTGTGAGCCTAACTTATAAAAAAAAGTAACTTTCTGCTGACCTCTAAATTCTGTTATAGTAAACATCCCAGATCTCAAACCAATCATCCAAACGAGATCCTGATTCTGCAAAACCTTGTGAGCACCTGTTAGAGAAAGATGTGCTTATAAAATTCAGGTTTCCAAGCAACAAAACAAAACAAAACACACATAAAGTGAAACATCTCTCAGGCCACTACCCAGGGGAACTGGTGGAAGCAGTTGCCTTATTAGTAAAGACAGATTTTCTGAAGCCAAGCGATGGTATGCCAAGGGTCCGGGAAAGATTTTGAGTTACTTGAACATATGACATGCCCTTTGTCTTAACAGAGCCATTATTTCACTGTGCCTGCCTGAATGCTTGGGCTGGTTGTGAAAACAATCAAACATAGAAGCTCTTAACCTGTAGCACCAGAATAAATCCTGTTAAAGAGAAGAAAGATGGGCACACGCTGCAGCTGTACTGCCCATAAAGTGGGCAACTTCAGTTATTCAGTGCTGGATAAGAAGGAACATGCATAGTTTATTTCTTCTTTAAAAAGGGAAAAAGTAAAGCAGTAACATGACTTTCTCCTTTCATTCCACCTTCTCCTCAGTATCCATAATTCAGCTAAATACAAAACCCTGTGTTGAAAACCATAGAAGAAAGAAAATCATTTTGAAGTCATGACTTGTACTTCTTAAAGAAATTACTCTTTTGACAACACTTGTAGTAAAGATGAGGGATGTTTTGCTTTTTATATACAACGTAGACCTTTACACACTATGCATTTCACAAGCACTATCCTAGCCTTTCCTCTGTGCTGTTGTGTACATATATATAACAGCAGAAGAACAATCTCAAGAATTGTTGGTGTTTCCAATTTTGAGGTTAAGCACCAAAGCCTCCAAGTAAGCGAAATCCCACCTGAACTTCAGTGAACCCTGAAGGGTTTAGAGCTAGAAAAACAAGCAAACAAACCAGGAAAACAGCACTATAGAATGCTGACATATCAATATGGTACCCATCACCTAATGAAAAATACAAAAATAAT